CCTATAGTCCTTCCCCCTTTTGAAAAGGTTTAAAGAAGCATTTTGATGTTTGAACTTTCTTACGTAGTTAATACCACAATAGTCTCTTCCACTTATTTTAGTACTAGTAGCTTCTCAGTCTCTCAATTCAGCATTTAATATACGAGCAGTGCTAGGGGCACTCGCCTCCTGCACTCTCCGCCTAACACTCTCATTTTGATTGGGCCACGTTATTTTGATTAAGAGGTTGCGGTCCAAAACCGCCGAAGCAAGCTTACGTGGCCCAATGAAGGTGGAAGTGTTGGGGAGAGAGTGCAGGAGGCGAGTGCCCCTAGCACTGCTCTTAATATATATATGTGTTAGTCCCCTATTATCTAATGAGAGGTTGTTCATAAAAAAGAGAAAAGATGAAGAGATATTACCAAAAAAAAAGAAAAGATGAAGAGACGTCATTAAATTAATAAATGTACTATTAAATGAATAGCATGAATTAAAAGAACTAGAGTGATTAAGAATTGGGGTTGTTTTTTTTTTATTTATATATATATATAATATTTTTAAAAAATAAATAATTAAATATTAAAATAATTTCTTATTAAAATTATAGTATGACACAATTTAACACTATTACAATTGCAATGACAAGCTACTCAACAACCCCAAATATACCCTTAATCATATTAATCTTATAACATCTCCTCATAATTGCAAATTACACTGCCTAATCATATCATTTTTGTAACATTAATTAACTTTTAATTAAATTTGATTAAGATCACAGAAATCTTTTCCGGCATCATCACTGTTTCCAGGCTTCCGGCTATCATTCTCTGTTTCTCCGGCGTCATCACTGTGAAAATCCAAGAGAAATCCATTTTGAAATCAAACAACATATGCAAAAAATTTAATAGTCTTAAATCAAAATCTCTTCGTACACGGAGGAATTGAAACTGAAATTACCCTCCTATTGGGGTTGGGTACTACCTTCACTCTGTTTTTGCATTTCTCGTATATACCTAGACACCAAATTGCACAACAAATTTGCACAAAACAGAACCTCCCATCCTCCATTTCCAAGCTCTTCTTACCTCACTTTCCTGCATATCCATCTTCCAAAATCAAGTTTTTCGCTCAAAGATTCAAGAAATTACAGAAATGAAATTCTTTGTCATCATCTTCTTCTTCCTCCTCCATGCTCTCTCCTCCGGCCCCAAGCGGGCAAACCACCGGAGAACCCAGACCCAGAGGAAACCAGTGACAACTCGATGGATTCTTTGGTGGTTCTCACAGAATCCTTCTCTAAACCAGAAAATAGAGGAAGAAGAGAAGGAGAAAGGTGGAGGACGAGGGAGGAGAGGAGAGAAGTGAAGAGAGAGAATCGAAGGGGTGTCACTGTTTGAGTATTGAGGGAGAGAAGGGTTAAGTGGTAAAACTGTAATTTCAGTTTTTATAATCAGTTTTATATTTGTCGCCGATAGCTTTTCTGATTTTTTTTTTATTAAATCTCACTCGATACCGTATGGATATTAGATTTTAAAGAAAAAAATTGGTTCAGATTTTATAAAAAAAAATTTTTAGTATCTGTATTTTTATTTTTAAAATTTGAATTTGAATTTATATTTAAGTAAAATTGAATTTTTTTATTTAAACTAATAAATTATTATTTTTTTTAATCTTTTTAATGCAATACTTTATGCATATATAGTGATTAAATTTTGCCCATACCACGTTAAGTTTGCGAGTACCACATTATGTTGTGATTGTAATTATTAATTTTCAAAATCATTCTAAGCGATTTAATTATAATTTTATTTTGCATAAAATGAAGATTTAATTTTGTATCTTATATAAATAAAAAATATTAATTAAATTTATTATAAGTGTATCATGTCATTTTTAAAAATTTATATTATCCTTCACACAATTATATATTTATACCTAAATTTTTATTGATTAAAAAATAAAAAACTCTATTTTAAAGTAGACTATTTCGTTTTCAATAGACACGAGTTGCTCATATTTTATTAAGAGACGTGATTCAAGTCTTTCTAATCCTGCCTTCGACAAGAAAAAAAAAAAGAAGATTAAATTTTTTTTTTATTAATCTCTTATTAGATTAATAGTTATTCTTTTTTTTTCTTTTTTTTTTTCATGATTGCAAAGCGTTGGATGAACCACAATTAATTTTTTGCTACTGTCACTTTGACGGCGGGATTATTCAAGTACAATATGAAGGAGGACGTGTTGTAGATGTTTTAATTACTAGTAGAATGTCACTTTAAGAGTTTAAATTAAAATTGCTTTTGAATATAATATAATAATTGATAGTGTAAAAAGATTACTTTTACACCATTCTGCCAAAATTATCAATACAATGAAAACAAATTTGAAGTCAAAAGCAGAAGAGGGAATTTTAGAACACAGCTTGAAGTCGTAGAATAAAGGGGAAAGTGCATTTTAGGGGTAATTAGTGCATAACACTAGAAGAAAACTCACATTTAGTAGAAGAATTATTAATCATTAAATTTTTATTTTTTTGTCATAAGTTAGAAATAATGATGCAATTTAGGCAGTTGGTAAAACCCTTGTAATTAATGCTTTGAATTAGAAGTAGGGTCCTTAATCTTTTACTTTATTTATACTTTGATCCCAAAATTTTTTCTTATTCAATTTTTGTTTAGGAGGTTAACTTTTCTTGCTCTTGAACTTTTAAAATATTTTAACCTAAGTCCCTAAACTTAATTTATTATGCAATCACATCTTTTCTCAAAAAAAATTATCTGTTTAAAATGAAAATTTCAAAAAAAAATTAATTATTAAAATATAATATAGGTGAAAATGGGTAGAATTTATTACTAATATTTGAAATTTGTCACAATTGTGACGAATTACAATGATAACTAACATAATCAGAAATCTATATTCTATATGTGATCATTTTTTAGAGATAATTTACTTCATCATTATTGAACATGTAGGTCTCTGTGACCAATAATTAAAGTATGTCACAATTTTGACGAGTTTTAATGATGATTTTTATTCTCACAAGCCTATATTATCTCTGTGACGGTTTTTAAGTGATGAAATACCTTTCAGTGATAATTTTTTTTTTTATTATTGTTGAACATATAGGTATCTATGACCAATAATTATAATTTATTATAATTGTGATGAATTATAGTGACAAATTTTTTCATTATAAGTCTATATTTTCTTTGTGATCATGTGGTAGTGATGAAATATCTTTTCAGTAATGAATTTTTTTCATCATCATTGAATATATGTGAATTTGTGACTAATTTTTAAAATGTCACAGTTGTAGTGAATTATAATGATAATTTTAGAATTTGTAACAAATTTTCATCACTAAAAACACTTTCTCTTGTAGTGTAAGGGTAAATAAGACATTTAATAAATTGATTGTTTTAAATAAGTAAAATTTGAATATATTTATGATAGATTTTATAAGAGTTTTGTTACACAAATAGGACATAATTTTATATCTCCACTAAATTAAAAACAAAACTGAGACGAAACCACTTAAAAATAATTCTTTTTTTTTGTTTTATTATTATT